AAATGGACCCACAAAGATATGGCCAACTAATCTTTGACAAAGCAGGAAAGAGTATCCAGTTGAATAAAGACAGTCTTTTCAGCAAACGATGTTGGGAAAACTTGACAGCAACATGAAGAAGAATGAACCTGGACCACTTTCTAATACCATACACAAAAAATCCCTCAAAATGGATGAAAGACCTAAATGTAATACAGGAAGCCATCAATATCCTAGAAGAGAAAACAGGCAACAATCTCTTTGACCTTGGCCATGGTAGCTTCTTACTTGACATGTCTCCAGAGGCAAGGGAAGCTAGAGCAAAAATGAACTACTGGGACCTCATCAAGATAAAAAGCTTCTGCACAGAAAAGTAAACAATCAGAAAAACCAGAAGGCAACTGACAGAATAGAAGAAGATGTTTGCAAATGAAATATCAGGTAAAAGGTTAACATCCAAAATCTATAAAGAACTTCTCAAACGCAACACCCAAAAAACAAGTAATCTAGTGAAGAAATGGGCAACAAAACATGAATAGACATTTTTCCAAACAAGATATCCAGATGGATAACAGATGAAAACTCAGTCATCATCAGGGAAATACAAATCAAAATCACAATGAGATACCACCACACCTGTCAGAATGGCTAAAATTAACAACTCAGGCAACAACAGATGCTGGCGAGGATGTGGAGAAAAAGGAACCCTTCTGCACTACTGGTGGGAACGCAAACTGGTGCAGCCACTCTGGAAAACAGTACGCAGGTTTCTCAAAAAATTAAAAATAGAACTACCCTACAACCCAACAATTGCACTACTAAGTATTTATCTAAAGGCTACAGGAGTACTGATTTGAAAGGGCACATGCACCCCAATGTTTATAGCAGCACTATTGACAATAGCCAAGTATGGAAAGAGCACAAAATATCCATTGATGGATGAATGCGTAAAGAAGATGTGGTGTATATACATACAATGGAATACTACTCAGCGGTCAAGAAGAATGGGGTCTTGCATTTGCAACACCATAGGTGGAACTATGCTAAGTGAAATAGTCAGAGAAAGATGAATATCTTATGATTACACTTATGAAATTTAAGATACAGAACAGATGAACATACGGGAAGGGAAGCCAAAATATAAAAACAAAGAGGGAGACAAACCATAAGAGACTGTTAAATACAGAGAACCAACTGAGGATTGCCAGTGGGGTGTTGGGTAAGGAAAGGGCTAAAGGGGTGATGGGCAATAAGGAGGGCACTTGTTAGGATGAGCACTAGGTGCTCTACGTAAGTGATGAATCATTAGATTCAGTTCCTGAACCCATTATTACACTATATGTTAACTAACCTGGATTTACATTTGAAAAGTTAATAAAAATTTTTTAAAAAAAGAAAGCTACTTTCTCAATGTCACAGTGATACGTCTCAGGAGCCAATGCTTAGTGGTGAAGGCTACAAGTATTTTCATCTACACTCGATAAGACACTCATGTTCATAATTTGTTATGATTTATATTGTTCTGAAAGTGCTAAATAATGCAAAAAAAATGCAATAACAAGCTGTATATCAGCTGGGAAAGAGGGGGACAATATTCCCTTATTTCCAAATGCTATCACTATATTTATGAAAAGTCATTGAAAATAGTAAGAGAATTCTGTAAGGTGGTCAGTTATAGAATTTAAATGCAAAATCAACAGATTCTCTTTTATAGAAACAATTAATATCATGAAAGAAGAGATTCAACTCACAAAACCAATGAGACACAAAATATCTAGGAATCCCAGTGGTAATTAAGAGCAAATACCAGCTGAGGGTGAGGGTCTTTTTGCATTATTACTTAATCATCAAAGCAAAATATGTGTAGGCATTGTTAATGTTATCAGCATCTTATAGTTAAAAGATCTGAACTTCAGAAAGATTCAGTACCTTCCCAAAGTCATTCACAGAACACTACAGAATCAAGATATTAACCATTCGCAAGATTCTACCTTTACAAGGAAAGCCGTGTATCTCAGTTCCAAGGGATCATAAAACATCCAACTCGGTGGACATCCATTTTGCAGAGGACGGCTGTGTATCATTAAGGATGTCCATTCTTACCGGGTTATGTTTGAATTAAGATCACACCCAAAAAGTCTTGACAGAATTTTGTTTTTATGTAACAAATTTATTGATATAAAATTAATTATTCATAGCAGATGTTTCTGTTAATTCACTAAGTGATTCTAAGTTCTGGAGTCTAAACATGGAAATTCTGAAAAAAAAGAGGGGAATGTGCCCTAGCTGATTCTAAATGTACTCTAACTGTAAAGCTCTAGTCATTAAAATAATGAAGTACTGGGACAGAAATTGACCAAGGATCTCTACCTGGGACAGTTTTGCTTCTCAAAGACATTTGGCAATGTCTGGAGAAGTTTTTGATTGTCACAACTGAGAGATCATGTGCTACTGGCATCTGGTGGGTGGAAGTCAGGGATGCTGTTAAATATCCTACAGTGCACAGGACACCCTCTCACTCCCACTTCTAACAATAATCTGGCCCCAAAATGTTGAAGTGCCAAGCCTGAGAAACGAAAATAGACCATTGAATGGACAGAGTAGAGAATGTAGAGAATGTAGCATTAGATCTTGTCATCTATTGAAATATAACCTAAGAAAAAGGTGTCAGTGAATCAGTGGAAAATGAGGAATTTTAGATAATTAGCGAACCATTTGAGAAAAAAGGTAAAACTAATTTTAACCTCATTTCTTACCCCAAATTTGATAATGCATAAAAATTAAAAGCATCTCCACTGTATAAGAGAAAAGAAAGACAAAATATGAACCACAGTCTGGGGAAAACATTTATACTACATCTATCAGGAAAAAAAATTAATACTCCTGATATACAAAGAGTTTTTATAAATCTATAAGGACAAGGCAAACTATATAGATAAAAAAGGCAAAGCACACCAACAGGATATTCAGAAATTAAGAACATATATAAAATTGGGACACCTGGGTGGCTCAGTCGGTTAGGCATCTGACTTCAGCTTAGGTCGTAATCTCACCATAATCTCACAGTTCACAAGTTCAAGCCCCACATCAGGTTCTGTGCTGACAGCTCAGAGCCTGGAGCCTACTTCAGATTCTGTGTCTCCCTCTCTCTCTGCCCCTCCCCTGCTTGTGCTGTGTCTCTACATCTCTCTCAAAAATACATAAACCTTAAAGAATATATATAAAATCTAATGACAATGAAAATTATCTATAAAATGCAAAATATATAAAACGTAATAATAAAATATAGTAATGGAATTGGGGTGCTTGTATGGCTCAGTTGGTTGAGCACCTGACTTCCACTCACATCATGAACTCACAATTTGTGAGTTCAAGCCCCACGTTGGGCTCTGTGCTGACAGCTCAGAGCCTGGAGCCTGTTTCAGATTCTGTGCCTCCTTCTCTCTCTGCTCCTCCCCTGCTCATGCTCTCTCTCTCTCTCAAAAATAAATAAACATTAAAAACATAGAAAAAAAAAGAAAATATAGTAATGGAAAATACAAATACAAATGAGATATCATTTTGACAAGAAAAAATACCTTTTTTCTGCAGTGCTCTCCCTCTTACTGGCAGCGATAAGCATTACTCGCAATGTAAGTTTTCTATTCTCCAATCTCATTGGAAAACTACCGAGGGCACTCACCATAGATGTGGTTACATAATGAATAGTCCAAATTTATGTTGCCCAAATGCTGGATAAACAGCACTTTTTATATAGACTGACCTTATTTGACTGTATAAATCTGTACAAATTCAATATTCCTGGTGCAAATCCACTAGAGGCAATATCAGGAAATTTTATTAGCTGTAATGATTTATTCAGATCTCTAGAGTGCCATTTATTTCCCAGCAGAAAAGTAGTTTAGAGTGTTTCTGTATTTCATTATTCACTGATTTCCCCTTAAAGTCCATTAAAAGTGCAAGTAAAAAAAAAAATCTCCTATTGGGTTACAAACATCCTGAATGCTTCAGGCAATAGGTACGAAGAGTTCTGAAGAAATAGTATTTGTACGTAACCCTAGTATCTTGAAAGGAGCTATTCTATATTAGAAAAAAAATTCCTTTCTATTTACTGTCTCTAACTTACCTTAAATTCACGATTTGGTACAGCACCCCAAAACGACTGTTGTTATGTATCATGCTTAAGGGAATTTGGGATTTTTTTTTTGTTTTTTTTAAATGTTTTTTAAAAATTTATTTCTGAGAGAGAGAGAGAAACAGAGCATGCACAGGGGAGGGTCAGAGAGAGAGGGAGATACAGAATCTGAAACAGGCTCCAGACTCTGAGCTAGGGTCAGCACAGTGCCTGATGCAGGGCTCGAACCCACAAAACATGAGATCATGACCTGAGCCAAAGTCACACGCTTAACCGACTGAGCCACCCAGGCGCCTGAAGGGAATTTTGATTCCCAGGCAGCCTAAGGTCAAGTGAAACCCCAAATCCCAGTGCAGATTTCCCCTGCGCTGTGTCCCCAGACACCATTTCTGTGAGATGGAAGCTGCCCACTGGGCCACTCCACAGTCACTCAAACCACACAGGCGGGCTGCTTGGACTTGTCACCAAACCTGTCCTCCAGCAGCACGTCACATCTGGGGACACCCCCGTCACGGTCACCCTAGCCTAGGTCAGGTGCCCAGCAGTCACCACTGCTGACAGTGTGGGAGGCAGTTCTCATTAATCTCCTTTCTGAGCACAAGGATCCTGCTCAGGCCTGTGGGTTGCATGAAAGAATGAGTCAGAAACAAAGCATTTAGGAAAGAAAAGAAGACATTGCTTCGCAAAGAAGTTGCACGAAGTCATTCTTCAGAAGAAGAATAAATAAAATGCCCTATAGGAATTTAAAGGAAAAGAAAGCACACAAGATTACCCCAACTCACATCAGTCTGTTAACGGCGAGCCTGTTGACAAAAATTGGGACGTCTTTAGCCAACACCTCTGCAAACACGAAGGCTTAAGTTATTTCATTAGGGAACTAACTTACAGGAGATGCTCAGAATCTTCCACTGGTTCCCCAACCTCCTTGGAATCAATTCCAGTTGCTTACCATGTCTTACAAGGCAGGTCTCTTTGGCCCCTAACAACATTTCCTGTCGCTTTCTGCCTCCGCTCTGGCGCTGACCACACTGGGCCCTTTACTGTCCTTCGAACATGCCACGCACGCCCCTGTCTCAGGCAAATATTTGTTGAATGAGTAAACGAGCATGAGTTTAAAAATCTAACAAACAAGGTCTTGAAGAAAAACCAACAACCATTCCCATGTCTTGCCCCGTGGCCCTTAGGGACGGGAGGGGAGGACGTTTCCAGAATGTGCTCAGCTGCGCCATGGAATCTCCCCATGGCCCTGGGGACACTGGGCCGGCTATAGCTCTCAGCTCTCCTCTCACCTCCTCATTGCTCCAGCAGAGGCATCGCCTCCTGCCCCCCCTGGGCTTGCAGCCCCTGGGGAGCCTCCGGCGCCAGCGCTTCACAGGGCGGGAAGCCAGTGTCTGTCCAGTAAATTATTCTGAGCACAAAGTGTTGCTCAAATGTTCTTCCAGCCCAGCCCCCCACCCCACCCCCACCCCCACCTATGCTGTTTTCCCCTTCAAACCTCTTTAAAGTATCTTCTAGCTAGGGCGCCTGGGTGGCTCAGTCGGTTGAGCACCGACTTTGGCTCAGGTCATGATCTCACGGTTTGTGGGTTCGAGCCCCACGTCGGGCTCTGTGCTGACAGCCAGCTCAGAGCGTGGAGCCTGCTTTGGATTCTGTGTCTCCCTCTCTCTCTCTGACCCTCCCCTGCTCATGCTGTCTCTCTCTCTTTCTCAGAAATTAAAAAAAAAAAAAAACATTAAAAAAATAAAGTATCTTCTAGCTCTTTAGCTGGCTATTAAGGTGTCTAATATCCTGACACATTCAGTATTCAGTAGGGCGGGGGGTTGGGGGCAGGCAGTGGGCAGGGGGAAAGGGCCTTCTTTCACAATATCTCAAAAATCAGCTGCAGTTACATGAAGCTAGGCTATGTCCTAGTGCCAGAAAATGCTGATCATGAGACTTTCCAAATGCCACTTTTAGTAAGAAGGATCCAAAAGGAAAGAGACCAAGTTCCTCAGATCCAGTGAAGGTAGCTTGGTTGTTATAAGCCGTGCTTAAAAGAAGGCAAAAGGGGAAGGGGAGGGCACGAGGGAGAAGGGGAGGGAGAGGAAGTAGGAAGTAGGAGAAGAAGGAAGAAGAAAAAGATGGAAGGAGAAGAAGACAGAAGAGGGAAGAAGAAGGAGAAGAAGAAGAAGAAAAAGATGAGGAAGAAAAAAAGTAATCTAAACTAGGTAATACTTTGTGCCAACCTGTTTCTTTGGCTACCTACCTAAGATAGCTTTGTGATCAATCTTTGTTTCCCAACTTTGGCTACATGTTGGAATCATTTGGAGATCCTTAAAGAAAATATGGATGCCTGGGACCCATCCCCAGTGATGTGATGTACGTGGGCCGGAGGGAGGCCTGGATGTTGGGATTTTTAAAGCTCCCCATTGAGATTCTGGTGTGTACTTTGATATCGGCAATTAAAATGATATGTTATAATCATTTATAATGATTTTGGCATAATGTTTAATGAAATCACTTACCTCTATTAACAAATACAATTGGCAAATATTTTGGGGACCACACAGAATCACAAGGACATATTGGGTCACTATGCTGTAGACATCACTTGGTATGTTTTACAGACAGAATGAAGAATATCTGAGAATCCAGCAATTCTTAATATTGTTAAGTAGAAGATGTTAAAAAGAAGTTTCTTCTGTATTCTCAGAAATGTGCTTATTTGGTGGCAGGAATAAGGGCATAGGGGGTGGAGGGGGGTGAGCAAGTGATGGGAAAGAATAAAATCTTGGAGAGCAAGTCAGTTTTCACCGCAATTTGCTCTTTTCAAAAACTCTAAAATTTTATTGTCAGCATTAAAACCTGTATCTCGTCCAAGAAGCGAGAGGTTCGGGCTATGGCAGAAAATGAATATATAGCTGAGGTGCCTCCCTTGAAACTATGGAATGGATATCATCAGGGGTATTGAAGATGGGTGTTGAAAAGGCTTTGGTCTCCTTCATGGGAACACACTTCCCCCTAGAGCTTAAGCTCCGTTCTTCACACAGCACACTTAGCGTATACTCCGTGGCCTCAACACCATCATAGTCAAAACGCCACCACTTGCCCAGCACTGTGTCAGGACCAGATGGCACTTGAAAGTGGACCAATTGTTCTTTGCAGATTCAGCCGTGCGTTAACTGGCATTTTGCTCCACATCTTCCAGTTGTGGAGCTGGAAGTTGTCACAGCTTCTCTGCAGCAGGTGCTGTCTGTGGTGGTCTCAGCACACTTTTTCCAGCTTATCTGGCGACTTACACACCAATCACTTAGCTGGATGGAAATCGTTCCTCCTGCCGCATGGGCTTTCAGCAGTGAAGAGGATGACAGGTCATCAAATGCTTCCGTCACACCGCTTTCCATATTAAATTGCTATCACACGAGTCATAGCAATTCCACCAGTATGCTGTGGATGCTGATGGGTTCAGGACATGCTGCCCCCAAAATATGGCACCTTGTGGCATACTGACTCTTAATGTTTTGTTTAATTTGCTTTTGAGAGAGAAAGAGAGAGAGAGAGAGGCAGAGTGTGATCAGGGGAGGGGCAGAGAGGGAGACACAGAATCGGAAGCAGGCACCAGGCTCTGAGCTGTCAGCACAGGGCCTGATGTGGGGCTTGAACCCATGAACTGTGAGATCATGACCTGAGCCCAAGTTGGACACTTAACCAGCCGAGCCACCCAGGTGTCCCATACTAACTCTTTTAAGCTGAGGGAATTTGAGAAATGGCAGGCACAGGAAGGACTTTAGGATCTTCCCCTAAAGCACGGGTCTGGAGGGAGGGGTTTGGAGGGAAGGGGCATCTTTATGATGAACATGAAGGGACACAGAGAAGAATCTGAATGAACAGGTCTTGATCAATTTCCCCCAGTTTACTACACTTACTACATAGTCTTCCCTTTTGTATCTTTACAGATTCTCCTGCAATTCTTCATGAAACCTAGCATAAAGCACTCAGGTTTAACTGTTTCTTCTTTTCCTTATGAAGACTCCAGCATCACATAAACCTCATATTAAACAAACCTGTACCCTTTTCTCTTGTTAATCTTTCTTTAGTTAGAGAGGTCCCATTTGAGAACTTAAAAAGGTAAAGGAAAAAGATAGTTTTTCCTCTCTACAATACTCTGCATATCCAGCAATTTCTTCCGATAAAGGGATTTCACCAATAGCTTATTCTGTGTTCTCTCAAAAATATCTGTCACTGTCTTTGAGATTGGCTTTATAAGCTCCTCTGTGAAGCTGTCACTTGCACCTGTTTTTGCTCCAAGGAACACAACACTGAATGCCACCTCCCTGCTCCTGAGCTCATCCCCTATTAATAAACCCATCCTGGGGAAAGTATTATTTTCTGCTTGTTTTAAAGAATGCTCTTAACAAAGAGGTCACTATACTTTGCTAAAAAAAAATGTCATGAGAATGTCAAAAATGGATGCCACTTTTGGAGAATTATTTGTATATTAGGGATCTGAAGGAAATGCAAATTAACATGTTCAGTTGAAGAGTAAGCCCACAGATGACGGGAGAATGTGAGAAGATTTCTCCCGTCTGTGCATTGCTCGCTGAGGCCAAAACACAGGCTCTAACCTCGCAGTACCTGCTGTCAGGAAGAAAGCAAGATTTTGTGGAAATAATAACCAATGTTCCACTTCCTGTTTGTCTGATTATGTGAACAAAATCATTTCAGCTCTTTATTCCCCTGAAGCCGCCAGGCCCCATGCTCACCCCTTGACAGAAGCCTTCTGAGAAGTGTGGGACAGGAAGGTCTGTGTGGATATTTCAGCCTGGGACGTGGGCATGTCAGTTCTGTAGATACTCGCTGAAGGAGTGAGCACATCCCTCACCACCAGCCCCAGCCTCGTGAAGTGTTCATGATCTCTCCCTCTTCATCCTCTCTACTCTTAGACCCTCAGGAGTGCTAAGAAGTTGCTGCAAACAAATTCTATTTTTCTGTCTACTTACCATGCACAAGGGCTAACAGTCACATCTGGAGCTGAGGATGACAAATTGTTTTTGATTTGTATGTCAACAATAATTAACGGGTAGTGACTCCCTGGAGAATTGGAGTGGAAAGGATTCGGAGGCCATATCTGATTTCAGTGGGAAAGGGGATGGTGATCAGTTAGTAGGGAGGTAATGGGCTGGGAGTGAAAAATGACATCACATTGGCCATGTATTTTCCATTCCCATCTTTACTTCCAGAATTTCTAAGAAAGGCCAGTTTATGTTTTGGGCTGTTTTTAGCATTTATTGTGGAAAGAAAAAAATCTATCTCCTCCTTTGTAAGTTACCCATTGACATTCATTGCTGCAAAGCTTTCTCTAAGGATTGTACTTCCAGAAATTAAGAATGTTGTATTGGGGATGACCTCAGCATGCTTTAAACCTAGCCTGGATTATGTGGTTACCAAGATTCCTTGCTGGGATCTTGATTGTTTTCATGGAACATCTAGCCCTTATTTTCACAGCAGACAACTTAAATGTACTAGGTGCTGATGGCAGAATTTCAGGTGTCTGCCCTGAGCTGAAGGAGGGATTGAGGATATTAGCCTTTTGATGGATTCTCCAAAAATCTCAATGCTTCCCCTGCCTATAACCTGCTCCATGCAGGTTTTGAGGACAATAAGTGATGCAAATCAATGGTTCCCATACTTGCCTGAACACCAGAAATACCTGTGCAACTTCATAAAATTAATCTCTCAGTTGAGGACTACTGGATTATATTCTCAGGGCTCAGTATTTAAAAACAAGCATCCTCTGATGACTCAGGAGCACACAAGTGTTAAAATCTGCTAGGGGGAACTCAAATCTGGTTTCTTCCCAGCACGATGCCTACGAAACTATTTGTCGAAGCTGCTGCTTAGAGATTTTATATAGTAACGTGAGGCGAGATCATGTATTTCTAGACTTTGATGTCTAGGTATCTGGTGGTCTCTCTTTTTGTGATGTTAGCAGCCATTGAAAATCACTGCTTAG